CCTAGAAGATAAGAGTGGGGGCGCGAAGATATACAATCACTTTTAGCTTAAGATGGTACTGAACCTCAGCTAAATTTATAGTTTATAGTGTTCTTCAACTGAATGTGCTGCACCAAGATTGTTTCACTTTTAAGTAGCAATGTTTTCTCCGCGATACGACAGAACTGACATAGTTGTGGAGTTCTCAACGTCAGTCTTATACATAGTATCATTCCAAGAATAAGTATTGCAAAGTGTAAAATGCTACTGCAAGACTGGGTTGGCTCGAACCCTAGCCTCATGGTTGCGGATGAACCGATTGAGGTAGTAGACAAATTAGTTTACCCGGGCAGCTGTATCAGTCCCGTGGTCTCGCGAAAGATGATACTTTCACCCGGATTGGGATGGCCAGAACTGATTTTGTGACCTTGCGTCACCTGTAGTGTAGGCGTGACATCAGCTTATCCGTCAAGAGTCGATTTCACAATGTTGCGGTGCGCTCCATATTACTATGCGGATATGAAACCTGGCCGCTCCGCGCCGAGGGCGTCAAAAGACTTTCAGTGCTTGACCATCGATGTCTTCGGAGCAATGCCTGAGTCTGGAGGGAACACCAGATCAAGAATGCTGAATTACATCCAACGGTAATTTGAAGAAATAGTTCACCCTCGATAAATGAACTGGTCACACTGCATAGGTTGCGTCTGTATTTACGCACTAATTTATCAGCTCCCACCTCCAATGCGCAGCTACCTATCCCACCTCCCCGAATCATCGGTGAACGAAACTGTGGCAGCTACAACCACTGTACGACAAGTACGCGGTTGTTACAGCTGACAATGATGATGATGATGAGTGCAGTATTCAACCGTGGTAAGTAATTGGGCCTTCGGAGGAAACACCTAAAGACGGATGAAAACTACACGATAGCGAGACACCAGGAAAGTACCTTGGTAGGGACTTTTATATCAACCTCGCCCAGTGTCTGATACCAGCGATAGTTTGGAAGGTCTGCACCGTTGCCCTCGTTCGGGCGGATCTTGCCTTTGGCCTGTTCATCTTCATCGTCTGAATCGCCTCCGCCCACCTTGATCGGTTTCGGTAAATCGGCCTTCTCTAATTCCGGTTTCGCTTCTGTTGCTGGATTAGGATCGACTGTAGCATCGCCATTGGCTTCTTCCATGGCGACGGTTTCGGTGACTTCGGGTTTTGGATTTTCTGGAACAAAACAATCAAACCGATCCACCTTTCAATAGTACTTTGTCTAATGAAAAATCCAAAATGTCACAAAACCATTTTTAAAAACCCATCAACTTTGATTGCCACTTTGCTCCTAATATACAAACAATTTCATTCGCAACAATATGAACACCAAAAATTACAGAAGCAAGAATAAAATCACCGTATGATGAATGCATATTGCAACATGGCCTTGTTCGGGGGCGAGGGCTCAGTGTTTAGAGTACGAATTTCCTGACCGGGAGGTTCGTGGTTCGAACCCGACCTCTGCATCTCGACCTCTCCTGTCTAGGCTTGGGCAACCTGGCAGTATCCCAACCCTTGTGCTTGGGTGGCATGTCAGCTAGGCACCGAAAGGGTGTTACAGCTGAACGATTTTTACTTACTCATTAGTTATTATGGGCTTGTTCAATGGCCAATTCAGACATAGCAATGATGTTAATCCTTCAGCTACTGGGCAACTAGAACAGAGCGCGAAAGCTGAGGAACCACAAGCTTGTCCAAGACGACAACAGTGCCCAAGACAGGGGTAACCGAAATATCAGAGTCGGGGTTATACCGAAGACTTCTCAGTCGCCAGCTTCGTGCTTTAACTGATGAATTATTCCGAACCTCTGTGTGTGTTAAGCGCGCAAACAGAACGATCCCTATATCCATAAAATGACATACCATATTTAAAAGGACAGCAGAAGTGAAAACCGTTTAGGACAGAAAAAGACTGACATTCGGGACCACTTGTGGACCAGCTCACTCAAAAGGGATAGAGACAAAACAGCGTATTAGGAAAAACGGCTCCGAACGTAACGGGACTATATAATAGCCGATGGAATAACCGTTTTTGTCGAGACAGATTTCATTGGTCGTTCCTCACTCGCCCTTGACAGTGTCACTCTTGACCGCTTGTACCCGACAGTGATCAATAGATCAGTCCGTTCGCACGTTCATTGACTTTTTTGGTTTGACCAAGCGCAACAGGATATCGATCGGCTATCGAGACCGGGAATCACGGTAATAAGAAGGAATTAGGGAGACTCTGGTGGTCCACAACACTGACTTACAGATACTATCTAGAATAGAATAAGGAGGTGTAACATTTTGACCGAGCGAAATCCTGTGTGACGCATCCCTTTTCTAATGTCACTGTATTTGAGATGCAAGGATCTGCTTTTCAGGGGCAAATGATCGCACTCATTTGGTCCGGTAAGAACAAGGCTTGTCTCGATTGGTGACACAGCTATACTTTGGAAAACAAGCCAGTTAGCGTGAGCAATCTTCGCGCGCTGAACCGAAGAATCATAAAATTCATAGCGTAAAAAGTTTCTGATCTAGTCAGCATCAAGCAGTCCAAGTAAATCCGGATGAGAATTGAAAGAAGAGTGTGCGGACTGTAGTTAGCAACTAAGCGTGTCACTTACCAATCCCCATAACTAAACTTAACAACCACACAAAACAGGCGTTTGATTTGCGTGACTAACGAAGTATACGCCGAACTGAGAGTAGGGCCCGCTAGCTTCGTATCCGATTGTTCTGAAAGACGGTACAGTTAGAGCCGGCGGCGCTACAAGAATTAAAGCTATCGGTGTCAGTGGATAATCGCTCCACTCGTCTAGTGATTAAAATGACCTTAGATGTATGGCTGTTTTCCCATCAATCCGGTTGTTCACCCTCATCCCTTGATACGCACCTTATAGCCGAGTATCCGAACCTAACTGATCCTAATAAAAAGAACCAAAAATAGCAGGAATAAACCAGGACTGACCAAGTTGTGTTGGACTTTTGACATTGGCAGCCAGTAACTCTTTCTCGCGGTCAACACGTCGTCGCCGTTCGCGTTCATCGCGTTCGCGCAACTCTTCTTGTTCCTTGTGATGACGCTCGAGAGCGGCGTCCTTAAGACGAAGTTGGAAGAACAGAGAACACCAAATTAATATGAGATACAAAGTAATATAGTTGGAAATAGCCCTCTCTAGAGAGATCACTCCTCAGAAGAGATCACTCCAGTCGGTCTGTACAGATGGGGATATCTGCACGACGATCGTTAGTACATCTGTGGGCAATATACCAAAACGAATTACAATAACAACGGTAGATAGCATCTGAAAATCAAAAGGTGATGTTTACCTACGTGTCCTCACATGAGCAATAGGGTATTGCAAATCAAGCAGAAAAGTCATGGTGAACTCCACTTAGTGATAGAGGGGCTGAAGGTTCCAGCTATTGTACACCAAGCAATCGATTGCGAAAACATCGCCAGATTCCGAGTTATAGGAGTACACATAATAAAAGCAATAATAACAATAATAATAATAATAATAGTAATAATAACAACAATAATCGATTACATGTAACACACTTTCAGTGTCTAGTTGCAATTTCACCCAAAGGAAGCATGAGAGCTGGACTACTGTCAGGTCGCCCAAGCCTAGACAAGAGCAGTTGAGATGCTTTGTGGGTTCGAACCACGGACCTTTCCGTCAATAAGTTCGTGCCCTAACCACTGAGCTTATATATAGATATATATTCGTGAAACTAGCCCAGGTTAAACTCTGGTCAAACTGTGCCAATTCAAACAGTATTCCCACCCTCTACACTACTCACGACCTGTACACCTGTTCACAAATGAGTTATAGCTGTTGTTAAGGTATGTGAAATGATACTCATTCAGTTACTGAGGGTTCAAACTTTTCAATGCTCCGGGTCCTCAGTGTCCTCAGTTAGATGTACGTTAAACCGTTCCGCTAGTTTGCCCGTCGTTGTTCTCTAATCATATTGATCGGTCACCGTATTCCCTCTCGTGGCGGTTTCAGTACCGAAAGTCATGGGACCACAAGTAAAGGAAAAATTATATGTTGGTTGTTGGTGAGTACGGGATTTGCAGAATTCACATTCACACAAATCTCGTTTAAACAATTATCCTGCTGTCCTGAGGCAATCACTCTGGTGAGTCCAGGCCAAAGAGGGGAAGCACTGGACTTGAGTTTCGCTCTTATTAGAGATCACCACCAGTGCATATCCTTGGTAGGGTCGGGCACATCTGACATGCGAGTGGTAGGCCCAAAATCTCGAACGATGACCCGATCAAGGTAAGTTACTGGGTCGTCGATCGAGGGCGTCCGGCTTTCCGCTCACATCACTCAAGAGGAACATGTTCACCTGTTCAGACGCGAAAATTCAGATGCGTCGAGCGTGTGCTGGTGCAGCAGTGGGAACACGCTCGCCTCGCATGTCATATGTGCGAAGTTCAAACCCTGGAACGGCCAAGGATATTCACTGCTGGTTAGCTCTATTAAGAGCGAAACTTGAGTACAGTGTTTTCCCCTTTGATGTAGGCTCACCAAAAGTACATTTGACTGAGATAAACGTTCGGCAATGAGACGTATACAGTTCGTTGTTGAAGGCAAAACCCAGAAACATACAGCTTATAAAAGAGTTGTCAAAGACAATAATCGCTCAACTTTTTTTTACGTGCGTCCGTCACCACATACAGCAAAGAACGAAACATGTGTACCTTGTGCTTCGCAAACGCCTCCAAGACCATCCTTTTTGCATCTTTCTCAGTGGCACCATAGTAGAAATCTGTCCGGCGTGACAGAAATCCAAAGAAGGCGTCAAGAATTCCACGAATCCCGTCTTCCGAATTCTGGGCGATACTCAGAAACACGTTGTCGTAGTCGGTGGACATTTTGAATACTGAAACGTCGATATATATAGATATATATTCGTGAAACTAGCCCAGGTTAAACTCTGGTCAAACTGTGCCAATTCAAACAGTATTCCCACCCTCTACACTACTCACGACCTGTACACCTGTTCACAAATGAGTTATAGCTGTTGTTAAGGTATGTGAAATGATACTCATTCAGTTACTGAGGGTTCAAACTTTTCAATGCTCCGGGTCCTCAGTGTCCTCAGTTAGATGTACGTTAAACCGTTCCGCTAGTTTGCCCGTCGTTGTTCTCTAATCATATTGATCGGTCACCGTATTCCCTCTCGTGGCGGTTTCAGTACCGAAAGTCATGGGACCACAAGTAAAGGAAAAATTATATGTTGGTTGTTGGTGAGTACGGGATTTGCAGAATTCACATTCACACAAATCTCGTTTAAACAATTATCCTGCTGTCCTGAGGCAATCACTCTGGTGAGTCCAGGCCAAAGAGGGGAAGCACTGGACTTGAGTTTCGCTCTTATTAGAGATCACCACCAGTGCATATCCTTGGTAGGGTCGGGCACATCTGACATGCGAGTGGTAGGCCCAAAATCTCGAACGATGACCCGATCAAGGTAAGTTACTGGGTCGTCGATCGAGGGCGTCCGGCTTTCCGCTCACATCACTCAAGAGGAACATGTTCACCTGTTCAGACGCGAAAATTCAGATGCGTCGAGCGTGTGCTGGTGCAGCAGTGGGAACACGCTCGCCTCGCATGTCATATGTGCGAAGTTCAAACCCTGGAACGGCCAAGGATATTCACTGCTGGTTAGCTCTATTAAGAGCGAAACTTGAGTACAGTGTTTTCCCCTTTGATGTAGGCTCACCAAAAGTACATTTGACTGAGATAAACGTTCGGCAATGAGACGTATACAGTTCGTTGTTGAAGGCAAAACCCAGAAACATACAGCTTATAAAAGAGTTGTCAAAGACAATAATCGCTCAACTTTTTTTTACGTGCGTCCGTCACCACATACAGCAAAGAACGAAACATGTGTACCTTGTGCTTCGCAAACGCCTCCAAGACCATCCTTTTTGCATCTTTCTCAGTGGCACCATAGTAGAAATCTGTCCGGCGTGACAGAAATCCAAAGAAGGCGTCAAGAATTCCACGAATCCCGTCTTCCGAATTCTGGGCGATACTCAGAAACACGTTGTCGTAGTCGGTGGACATTTTGAATACTGAAACGTCGAAAAAGACCACATGCCAGAGGAGAACCGATAGGTTTAGGAGAGAAACGAGGCAAGAAAACAAAAATAACCACTAGGCGTTTATTACTCTTCGTAAAAATATTATTTAGAATACATTTGGGATTGATTAGACAGGCTTGAAAGCCTCAACTGTTTCTAATACGAGACAAGCCAAATCCACGACAGCACGAGCGGCGATTCGCAACTTTCCAAGTTGTGCGGCGTCATGTTTAGTAGTACCATCACTCAGGGGAGCGACACACTCGCAGACGAGTGTCCGCTCCTCCTGCCGAAAGGTTTGCGTCACTGAAGATCGTGGGGGAGGAGGGTCTACTGACAAAGTACGTGCGGCAATTGCAGCGGATTCAAGATCTGGGAAATCTAGGTGTACTGCTATTCGATAGGCAGGCATAGAGCTTTCCTTCATGTTGTTCAGTTATCCTGTTTCTGAAGCAACGTCAGGCGGAGGGCTGCAAAGAAATCAATCAATGGAGATGAGTAACAACTTACGGAACCAGATTTTTTGCTTCCTCGAGCTCACGGGCGATTTCGCGCCGAACCGATTCGCTTACTCTCTAGAGAGCAACGTCATGGCCGCAATTCACTTGAGACAACTAACCTCCCGTTCGACAACTTGAGCAATGTGCACGTAAACGAATGTTCCGATCGTGAACACACAGGACAATCCCAAGGTAACTTTGGAGGCTGTGGACATATAACAGCCGTGCAACCTACAAAAAGCAATAAAAATTACACTGAATGCACGAGGAAGCGCGAACAACCGGGTGTAGTCGCACGTAAGTCGTCTCGTTTAGCTGTAACGCCCCTTAAGTGCACAGTTGTCATGCTATCCACAGAGAGCAAGAGGGTTAACTGGCTATAAGGTCGCCTAAGCCTAGACGAGTGCAGTCGAGATACCACATGGCTTCCGAACGGTAGATTAGCGCTTTAACCACTGAGCTACCTTGTATCCACGAATAGTATGAATTATTAGCCTAAGGCGTAGGCTACCATGGGGTTTCCGAGTACTTAAAAAATCAGCACAACTCTCAAGTGATTGCAGAGTGGAGTGTTCAAACCACTCTGAATGATTACAACATTTTAGTATCAATTTTGTTTGTCTGACTACGAATCCTGGGGTGTACAACGAATTTCCGACATCGAATAACAGAGGAGTATACACGCTATGCAGCGGCGTTCAGTTGATCTATTGTGATCCCTTGTAAATCGTCCTGATTGGTGAAGACTTAACTACGGCTGGTTGGAAATAAGAGCCATCCATCAGCTAGTGATATTGCGCCACATTGACTGAGGCAAGTTCCCTGTTCATCAGGCACTAGGTGCGTGGCGATTGACTATGGTGGTACCTGATGACTTGCTGCATTATTTGGTCTTGGTCGGTAGCCAGGCGGACCATGTCGGCAATCACCAGAAGGGTGTGAACTGCTTCGGATGCCAAGAGGTTCATCCCCAAACTCCAACGCAGTTGTTGCTTCCATCACGAAAGCAACTTGAATTTTTCACCAAACACCGCTTTCTTGCGGTCAAACTTTTGGGTCCAATGCTTTGTTCGAAAATGCTGCTTTCAATGTCGGCACACTGAAGGAAGCGGAACAACAAACTGCTCCAGCTCTCACACTGGACCCACTTACGGCTGATGAGCTATGCATTCGTTTAGCTGTAACACTCTTCCGGTGCATAGCATCCATGCCACACGAGGGAAGCACGAGGACTGGGATAATACCAGGTTGCCCAAAGCTAGACGGGGGAAGTCGAGAAGCAGAGGTCGGATTCGAATCACGGACCTTCCAGTCAGTGGATTCGCGCTCTAACCACGAGGCATCTCGCGCTGTGCATTAAAAATAAGAATTCAGGATGCAAGCACAGTGGTTAAACTAACCGCCCTATCTCTCTCCAATCGTTTCCGGTTGCGAAACCGACGTTCCAGAGGCTGCAGCGGCAGGATTTGCACGGATTGGTATCATCCAAAGTTACCCGGGGGAAGCGTTCTTGCTTGACTGAATACCCGTTTATAGTTGCCTTTGCAGCTTCGTGGCAACAACTGTTGAGGGGTCTTACAACCAGGAAGTTGATCGTTGTCTGCTTACACCCCAACTGACTGCAATTCTGAGAGCACCAAATACAAGCTAACGATGTCCTGAATATTCTGCTGCGCCAAGTTAAATGTTAAGTTGTCGTGGTGGTTGCCGGAGATACGAATTCACAAGTGGGCAGGATTAACGCATCTGAGACTCAATTAGGTGGTCGACATGGACTGGTCTCGGTACATACGGACAATAGTGAACGATTACTTCAGCTGTGCGCTAACTTCCGAAATAGCCGGTCAAATGTCCTCCAAAAGCGTGCTGGCTACGAACCCAAATTGATCAGTGCCATCAGTTGCCGATGATGCGGATCAATAACCAACTGCCGCTTATTTCGGAACACATGTGTGGATTCCGACCACGCGCTAGTTCGCAGATGCGGACGAATCGCCAGGCAACTGAGAGATTGGTAGACCTGGATGCTGGATGAATCTACCCAAACAGTCTTCTAGTCATCATCATCAAAGACAGCAACATCAGTGTTGCCACGGATGCTTCACTGCCGTACAACCATAAGGTTCGTCTAGTTTATATATATATATATATGTCTGACATAGAGTTCAGAGACCCACCATCACACAAGCGCTCTGCGTCCCAGACTGACGAACAGGCATTATTTGTGGCAGAATCTTCGCTGAGATTGACAGGTGGACATTATGAAATTGCTCTGCCCTAGAAGGCGGGTTGTCCGAGCTTACCATCGAATTATCTCGTTGCTCACCAAAGGCTCGACTCCCTTGGTAAGCCGCTTATTGAGGACAGACATCTCCATGATCTCTGTGCGTCGGCTATCAATGATTATCTGATAAAAGGATATGCCGAGCCGGTCAATCCTCGCCTGGAGACCGAAAGCACTGGACGAACTTGGTACTTGCCACATCATCCGGTGGTTCACCCCCACAA